GAATAAGAAAAAAAATGTTGTTTAGATTCGAACAAGCATCTCTAATGCACCAAACCCAAGCAAACCTCTGCGTCATCGTTCTCTTTGACCTCATTCATTTTTCATTCTCGATTCCGTTCTTCGTTGAAGAATGACCCAATGCCACAGAGCGCACCAGTAGGACCTTCACGTCGTGAAACAACCCTCAGTTATGTAGATTAGTTGTGAATTAAGCGGGTAACCTGATGAATAAATAGTCGTAGTTGTTGTGCTAGGCGGTACGATGACTCGACCACTTGCGATGTTATCTGAAAGATGCAAATTCAGAATCATCGCTGTAAAGTGGCGATGGCATGTCGCCATTTAAACAGACTCGCTGCTACCTCTGAAAGTTCCGTAGCTGATTCTGCCGAGCCGCACTGTTTCTTTCGAGTGAAATCATCTAATGTTTTACCTCTCAGTTGCTGTATTGGACATTCACTGAATTGCAAATGTTGGAATTATGCGTGGTAGGTAGTTGCCAATTCCAGGTTAGGATTCTTTTCTAAATTGAAAACAACACAAAACGTGAAATGGAAGCACATTGTTACTGCAAACCTGCTGGTGACGAGAATATGACATTTGCCGCAGCAGAGGAGGTTACTTAATACCAATCTGAAATACTATCGTTAAAGGTCAGACGTCACATGTTTGGATTATTGTACTGCTGAACCTCTGCTATCCTTTGATAACGATGACAAAACAACAACAAAATCTTTCTGATTTTAGTTCTTTTCTGTATTAGAATAAATTTTGTTGTATATTCTGTTTCTAATTTGTGACTTACGTCGTTCAGATATGGCATTGTCCATAATTCTACACTTTTCTTTTATTTCAAATCTTTATTTTTCTGATGTAATGGTTTTAGGCGCAAGGTTAAGGCTGATGTAACGAAAGCTTTTGGTAGGTTCACGTCAATTTTTGTCTTACGCTTGAAACTAGTGCATCAGAAATTTAGAAGAATTACAATGAACTTTCTTAATAATTCTTTTTATTTTCTTATGTCAACATTTTGTTGTCATTTGTTATTAATTTCGTATTTAGTTTGCGTATTTTGTTTTTCTGAATTATCTGATAGCCACCATGTTCTGGTTATTTTGTTCAAGCAGAGAACTTTAAAACGGAACATGTAAAGCCAAGCAACATCTTCATTCGTCACCGTTCGATACTCCCCGTTGAAGTGTCAGGATTGAACAGTGATTTTCTTTGAAATTAAAAAAAAAACATTTATTTGCCGGAAGTAGGACTCATGACTTCGTCAAGTCAGCTTCTGCTATATTACGACATTGCCGTTTGCTCCTAGATGATGAAACGTCTATTTTAAAATGTATCCAAATATTTGATCATCCGAAGATTGAAAATTACTTGACCAACCGAATGATTCAAAAGCGCACCATTGGCTCCAAGCGTCACTGCAGCTGCAGGTCACAGAATCAGTTGCGGAAGTTTGCCCTGACTACCCTGAAGCAGGCCCGTGATAGAGAGCCGAAAGGTTGGTACTGGCCAAATATCTGATTGGTCAGCTTATTTGTTTGCATTATGTATAAATAAACCTTTTTATGCATTTTTCAGTTTTTATCATTTGAGCATCAATGACTTCTTGTTTCTCCCATCGTTTTACTGCCTAAGATAATATCTTGATTGTTACCAATGATGCTAATAGGATCGATGATACTCTATTTTCAAAAGCGTATTTAGTTAATACCTGTTCGTCCATGGGACATACGTAAAACTTTTTACGTATTTAATTGCCTATTACACCACACTGTGTTGATTTTGTCAAAAGATTCTATGAGTCTCGCACGGTCTGAATAGAGTACACCAAAGCACAATGATGTGTCTATTATTCGCAGGTCAGTTTCTTGTCACTCATCTTTTTGTTGGTTGCGCCGAACCGCGCGAGATAAACTTCTTTTGCTAATGTGAATTAATAGCATACAAGGGAATTTTAGTTGAACCACGCTTCGAACTCATACTTTTAAAGTACGTAGCAGCATGATTACCTTCTGCACCACAATATCCCCGCATAATAAGTGAGTGTTACCGACCTGAGTTGTAATCCATCCTTACCGGTATGAAACCCAACGGTATGGTACTGAAACAAATTTACTTAATACTCAGTGGCAGTGTACGGTTTCTACCGCATTACTCCTTAATCCTGAACCTACAGCAAAGCTACGGCATAAACTTGAATATGCAGACAACAATTCTGAGGTTAAGTTATAATCCACTACAAGCGCGGTCCATGCCTATACGAATAGGTTGGCACTTTGGGGGGTGAGGTATGCAAACCTAAAGCACTGCTATATTTTTGATTATATACAGACCTATGGATAGCTATCTTAATTGGTGTTCGAACTGATTGATGCAGCATGGCATTTATGCACTGCGA